TCATCGTCTGGGCATTTAGCAACAGAAATTTATTTCCTCACACTTCTGGAAACTAGAAGCCCAAGATCAAAGTACCAATAGAGTTAATGGCTGGTGAAAGCTCTCTTCCTGGCTTATAAATGGCTTCCTTTTGGCTATATCTTCACATGATAGAGAGAGCTCTGGTGTCTCTTCCTTTTCTTATAAGGGCACCAGACCTATTGGACTAGGGTCCCATCTTTATGACCTCATTTAACCTTAATTACCCCCTGATAGGTCCTAACTCCAAATGCAGTCACGTTCTAAGTTAGGGCTTAAACATATGTTTTTTGAGGGGTGAGAGAGGGGGGACACAATTCAGTTCATAGCACTGACTGTTGGAACTTAACTTCTGAGAGACCACTATCTTGATTGTGTGTCTACCTCTGTGGCTACTCCTTTTAGGTCTCCTTTGCTGAATCATCCTCAATTTCCCAATATCTAAACATTAGAAAATCCCTGAGTTTAGACCTTGAGTTTGTTCTCATTTCCTAACTGAATTCACACTCACCTGCTCACCCATTGCTTTTAATTCCATTTCATCTACACTTGGTTTTCCAGAATTATATATAAACTGCCCATGTGACAGTTCTATTTAGATATCTCATGGATACTGTAAAGGTAACATGCTGTCTGGCATCATTTTAAGTCGTGATAACTAAACTCAAATATGCCCTTAGTGCTCTTTACCATTTTATTACACTTCTCTGATAATTCCTGCTCTTTACTCTCCTGCATAACTATTTCACATACTCCCTCCTCAAACCTCCACCACTTCTGCTATCCTCTCTCTTAGTCAATACTCCTAATTCCGATTCCACTGAGAAATTAGAAGTCACAGAGAACTTTCACAACCTTGCAGTACCACCACAACCCACCTAGCACTACCTCTATCATTCACTCTGCCTTCTATTCTGTTTCTGTGGATGAATCATCCATATTGCTTTCTAAAGCCAATCACTCTTAATTAGCATTCCATCACTGCTGTAACAAATTAACACAAACTTTATTAGTTCATGGATCTGTAGGTGGGCCTGGCTAGGTACTCTGCTTAGAGTCTCACAAAGCTGAAAACAGGGTGTCAGCTGGGCTGTGTTCCTTTCTCCAGGCTCTAGGGAAAAATCCATTTCCAGGTTCATTCAGGGTGTCAGAAGCCTCCAGTTCCTTGTAATGGTAGGACTAAGGTAACTATTTCTTTGCTGGCTGACAGCAGGGGGTAGCTCTCAGCTTCTAGAGCCCTTTCTCTGGCCCTTGCATCTGGGTCCTACATCTCAGAGCCAGTAGCAGTGTGTACTTCTGATACGTGGAATTTCTCTGGCTTCTTATTCTGCTGCATCTCTCTTTTGGTTCCAGCCAGAGAAAGTTCTCTGCTTTTAAGGATTCATGTGACTAAATTGAGCACACTCACTGCCCAGGACAATCTCCTTCTTTTAAGAATCTCACTTATATCTTCAGAGTCCCTTTTGCATTGTAATATATTCGACAGATTCTAGGGATTAGACTGGACACTTTGGAAGGCCGTCTGTGCTTCAGCAATTTTTGCTCCAGCAATTTTTCCCTTTCTCCTCTGCAACATTAATTATTCCTCTCAACTGGATCTTTTCTAACAGCATACAAAATGTTGATGTTTCTTCCATATTAAAAATGCTTCCTTGATTCTACTCTCCCCTCCGATTACTGCCCCATTTCTCTTCTCTCTTTGAAGAAAAACACCTTGAAAGAATTGCCTATACTGTTTGTCCCCAATTGTCCTTCCATTCTCTCTTGATCTTTCACCCTTCCCGTACCAACCTGATTTTGTCAAGAGCACAGTTGGTTACACATTTTAAATTCAAGGATCAATTTTCAGTCTTCATCTAATTTTCATTTTATGAAGCTAATCATTGAAAATTTCATTTGGCTTCCAAGATATCACCCTCTTGGTTTTTCTTACCTCTTGAAGGCTCTTTCTTAGTACAGGAATATGAGGGAGACCCATCATATTCCTGATGGCTTAACCTTGGACTGTCTAAGGCTTTTCCATCTATATACTCATTTCCTTGGTAATCACACCCAGTCTCAGAGCTTCAAGTACCATGAATGTACAATGACATCCAAATTTACATCTATAACCTAAAACTGTCCCCTGGACTCTGGGCTTGTATATCCAATTACCTATTCAACATCTCCATGTATATATCTTACAGGCAAAGGTAACACATTCTCTGTCAAACTCTTCATCTTCCCTACTAATGCTGTTCTTCCCACTGTCTCTCGGTCAATGCCAGCTCCATTCTTTCATTTAATGGAACCCAACATTTTGAAGATGTGATTGACTCCTCTCACTAATCTCCTTCCCCTATACATCCAGTCCATTTAAAAAGTCCTGTTGTCTCTAACACCAAAATATAATCAGAAGCCACCTCCACCAAAGCCATCGTAGTGAATGCCACCATGATGTCAGACTTGTTTCATTGCAGTATAACCTCTATTTGTTCCCCTTCTTCCAGTGTGACCTCCACACAGCTGCCACAGTGAGGCTGTGAAAATGTGAGTTGGATTACCTCACTCCTCGACTTAAAGCTCTACTTCTTCCAGCGTAAAAGCCAAAGTCTTTACAACGACCAGGCCAGCCCTCCATGACCTGCCCCCTCTAGACCCGCTGCCATCTCTTACTCCTCACCCGCCACTTTCCCACCTCCAAGCCTTCACACCTGTGTTCTCTCTGCCTATGATGCTCTTTCCCTCCATCTTTCCTCATCAATTTCAAGTCTTGATGAAATATCACCCTTGAAGTGAGACTGTCCCTGGATGTTCAATTTAAAATTGCAAGTCCCTTTCTGACTACTGATCCTTTGCTGTCTTATTTTTTCCTCCACAATATTATCACAATTAAATATCCTATATATTTTTTTCATTTATTGTTATGGTCTGTCTTCCCTCAGAAGAATCTCAGTTTCATGAGGGCAAGGGCTTTGGGGTTTATTTGTTTGTTTGTTTCTACTGCCTTTTCTCCAGCACTTAAAACAGTGCCTGGTACAGAGTAGACAATAAATATTTGTTGCTGTTGAAGGAAGGTCCAGGACCAGTCTTTATTTCACCTCAAATTCAGGGTCTTCTCCCAGACTTCCCCATATCAGTAAGTGGCAGCTGTGTTCCAGTTTGTTCAAGCCAGGATCCTGGGAATTATCCTTGATTCCTCTCTTTCTCTCACACCCCACATCTTGAAATCCTGCCTGTGCAGACACACACACACACACACCCTCCAGAATCTGGCCCTCTCACCTTCTCCACTGCTTTCATCCAAAGTCCAGCCATTACAGAAATAGCCTCTCACTATTGGTCTCCCTGCCTCTACCCTCGCTCACCTATGGTCTATTTTCTCCACAGAAGAAGAGGAAATTCCCTAAGAGTGTAGCTCAGATCCTAGGCATTCCTTAGTTCAAAGTCCTCTGATAGGTTTCCCATCTGAGAATAAATTCTAGTCCTTTACCTGGCCTGTAAGATACTTCCTGATCTTGTCCCAGACATTATTATTTTCCTGAACCCATTTCTTCCCTTTGCTCATTGTCTTCCAGCCACCCTATTTTCCTTTTAGTTTCTTGAAAATACCAAGCATTCACTTGTCTCAGGTCTTTACATGGCTTCCTCTGCGTGGAGCACAGAGACACAGATGACCAGCTTCTTCCCTTCATCCGGGCCTCTGCTCAAAGTAGCTTTATCAGTGTGCTTCCTTGATCATCATACCTAAAATGACATGCACATGCACACACACAGTCTCTGTGCCCTTACTTTCCTTTACTTCAAAGCCCTTGTTACCAACTAACATTACACATTTACTTACTTGTATTGCCTGTCTTCCCCCTTCCTCAAAATATGAACTACGTGACAGCAGACACCATCTGTTTTGTTCACTGCTGTATCCTCAATATCAAAGATGAACCCCAGCAACTGCAGGCTTGCTTAATCCTAGCACATAGAATCTGAGAGAGAGATATAAACACTTTCTTCCTCAAAGAATCAGTATTCCTATTTGAAAAAGGACCCTGGCCTTTCTTGAGTGTTGTGCTTACCTCCTAACACATTTGCTGTGTCTAAAGCAATGGAGAAATCCGATTGGGCATTCTGGGTCACATGCCTCCTTATAGTTCTGTTGGGGGGCTGTGGGGAGGGATTTGTGAGGAATGCTGCACAATCTATAGATAGAGAAAGGAAAGTTTCCAAAAGGAAAAAAGAGGCTCTGTTAGCAGAATGGGGCAGGGGGTGGGGGAAAAGGGAGGGGATACGGGGGTGGCAGAAACAACAGATGGTCACCACCGAGATTTTCCAGAGTGGGAAGAGAAACACAGGGATGAGCTGGGGGTCCTGGTAGAAGAAGTGTCCCTAAATAACTGTACCTCCACACACTTTGGGAGAGGATGTGCTGAAGCCCCGGGCACGCCAGTGTGGCATCCCTGTGCCCTGCTCCTTGAATGACTCCCTGTGGGGAGCTGCGGGAGGGATCTCTGGAGTATGAATACTCCTGAGGCTTCACCACATACGCTGGAGGAAAGAGAGAAAAGCAGGGATCAGCCGCGTAAACATGATTTCTATTTTTCACTGCCCACAATATTATTCACCAGCTCATTTGTGCAATTCTGCATCCATGGCTATCAAGATGAACAACTCATCTGGAAATAAAGGTAAATGAATTAGTTCAAAAATAAGCAACAGCTGGGAAGTGAGCACATGTACTTACACTCACACTTGGGGGAAAAAAATAAATCTTGCTGCTCTCATTTAGCTCATTTCTTATCTATTTTGTTTTTGATACACCTCACTGCAAGGTATTTTAAATGGTTCAGATTGATTTCCAAAAATAGAACATGTTTTTTGGGTTCTCTGGAGAGCGGGGTGCCCCAGCTGACCACAGGCACACACACATTCTTCCCATAGCACAGCACTTTAAAATTAATAGCACATGCAGAGGAAAAACTAAACCCTTTGACGTCACTCTCGAAATGAGGAAACATAAACAGAAAAGGCTCCACTCCAGTAAGCTGCCGGAGTTGAAGCCGATTGGTCTCTGCTTTTCCTTGCCTGTGGCAACTGACAGCACCTCCCAGCCTAGCAGGCCGGCTGCCTGCTCCCCCAGCCAGTCGGTGGGTCTGGGCACTGCAGCGGCTGGGCTCCCGTCCCAGGGCTTGCCTGGGAGAAGCGTGGTGTACTCACCCCGAGAGAATCTCTGCTGCCCTCCTACTTTCCCGGGCTCTCTGTGGACTTTCGGGCTTCCTCCTTTCCTTTTTTTTTATTTTTTATTTTTTAATTTTTAACTTAATTATATTCCTAATCCTGGATGAAGTTGCTGGATTCTGCAGCACAAGTCTTCATGAACAAGCAGCACCGCTCAGAGATTTCACGGCATTCAAAGGTCACAGAACTGCCACTATGGTTAAATGTCTTGTTTAATGGTTGAGGTAGGTACAACGAATTTCAACAGCAACTCATTTTTTTTTCTTGAGAGAATCAGAATCACAGAGAGTTGGCAGGAGTTTTATTTGAAATGAACATATACGTATATATTTTTTGGTCTGTGATTGTTACTACAGCAACCAGCTTTTGAATTTCCTTCCTTTTTCTAAGCGAACTGACTAAACATTATCTCTTACCCTGAAATTAACTGTTTCATTCCAAGCAGCCTAATGAGACACTCTGGCTTTTTCTCTGTGCTTTGAGCCCCTCCTGAGGAGGGTGGCTTTGCTTTCTTTCTTTCTTTTCTTAATGAATGCAATATTTCTTCTCCACTGTAAATCGTAGGGTTGAGTCACTTTTTCTTTTTGGTGGGACAGAACAGGAAAATATTGGTTAAAAAAAATTGGTGAGGGTTGTGAAACAGGGAAAAAGAAAATCCATTTTTCTCTTGAGTTTGTCATGTTGGTTGATAGATGAAGAAATTAGTATGAAGAGAGGAAGAAGCTGGTATTGAGATGGAAGGTAGAAAAATCTATTGAAGGTATGTCAGAAAAGGAACTCTTGAGGAAAAAAGACTTTATCACCTTGTTGCATTTTTAAAAAACTGATCTGGATTTAGAAATCAACAGGGGAGATGCAGGCACTGAGTTATATGATCAATGATTTAGATCCCATTATTCATAAAGGAAAAGAAAAACTTCTTTATTAGCACTGCAGATTTACCAATTATCTTTCCTACAATACTTGAAAGCAGAGTGAGATATTTAATTAGGGACTTGAGTGATTGAGCCTAGGGACTAATTAATCACCTATAGATTCTGTTCTACATATGTTCAGCCAGAATGATGTTTGAAATGTTAAGAGTAAACCTCTTTAGCCCTGAAGGCAGGCATATGCATTTATATACAGTAAACCACTAAACATTGCAGGAAGCAGGGCAGTTAAATCCAGGGCTAATGTTGTTTTCAATTGCATATTATTATTATGGATTTATAGCAGAGGGACCCTGCTAAAAATCAGTCCTGTCCAAAGAGTCCATTATTGTAAGAGCAATTCAAGTAATACGTGGTTAACATGGATTTCCTTGTTACCCTTCTTGAAGTTATGCAATAGCAAGTGAGATAGGATTATTTGAGACCATTACTCTGTTTCCAAAATTTCTTGACTTTTTTCAAAGGTTTCTATTCTCAACATTGAGAGAAATTTAAAAAACTGGGTCATGTTAGTAAGATTAAGCAAGGTGTAAAACTCATTGTGCATTTCAAAGGGTTAACAAAATTAACTGCATTAAGAGTGTAATGTACCAAGTTAAGAACTGCAAAAATATTAGCTCTGAAATGCAGAGGATGTGCTGTGAATGGACAATTGCTTTTCTGCAGCGCCTACTGGGAAAACAAGGACTTTGTGTGTTGCGAATGCCTAACTGCAGCTCCTCCATTTGCTCTGCTTTATCTTTTATTACTGGCTGGTGAAACAAAGACGGGTGTCAGTAGTTATGTCTTGATTGACATTTTCTGTAATAAAATGAAGTCGCTTTTTGTCTGAAGTAGAAGCCCAAAGTTAACGAGTTGCAAGTCCAAAGCCTGTATCCTCTTTATAAGGATTTTTACCTGACACTGTAAGCTGTGTGATTTCAGAGTGCTCTCACTCAGCTGAACAACATGAGACAAAATCAATGGTGACTATATGTCAGCCAATTAGCTGGGAGAAACTCTTTTTTTGAATCAAGTTACTTAGGACAAGGGTGGAAAATTCCAAAATGTGTCAGGCAGTAGACATCAACTTAGGGAAAATAATTGTACTGGTACATCTTGTGATGCCTTACACGGTGTTCAGCACAGAGTTCCCCATTGTCAGCTCTCAATAAATACCTAGTTAAAATGTTTGCTGAGAGTTTACCACCCTTCATATATTGTAAATTAAATAATTTTTAAATATGGCATTTTCAGCTGTCTTTGAAAAAAGTTTTTGGTGTTAGTTCAGCCTAAAATATGATCTATGTAGGAGGCCATTCCAAACATGGACTGATGTTCTTTTCAGCCAAAGGACATGTTACCCCAAACAGATGCAAAAGTAAAATGACCAAGTTTCCTTAGAGTGAGAATATACCACCTGGAAAATGCCTCTGCCTAGTAATTAATCTTCCAAAGTTGCATTTATTGTTAGCCAGGCTCACATCACAGGGGAAGCTGCTTGTTGACTCACAGAACATAGTGTTGGAAGGAATTTATTAAGCAGTAAACTAATTCCAAGCAAGACTAAAAGGGTTTCATTATATTAAAGAGACGTGTCAAAATTAAAAGTCAGAATAGACTTAATAACATCTAAACGTAAAAGCTAACAGGTATCCTAAGTGGTTCAACTCATAGTGACTTTGTGGGGGGTAACTTATTGGGGGAGGTAGGTAAATTATTGAAGAACCCTCGATACATAGAAATTTTTACCCAAAGACTCCACCGTTCCATGGATTCAGCTTATATATCCCAAACAAGTCCACGGACAAGTAGAAATCTCTTCTAGGAGGCACATTTAGCTGAGGAAGAAGGGATTTGGCATTTAGAAATGTGATGAGACCCTCCCCATCAGCGCCTCTCCATGGTGGCATCCAAGTCTCTCCTCAGAGCCTTCCCTTGGGCATCCTTACTTCTCCTAAGAATGCGCCATGGGGAGCAAGTCTGTCATTCATGTGGGAGCTGCCTTGGGGTCAGTACCAATGGCTTTACAATCATCTTAGTTGGCTTTGTCAACACACTAACTGATTTTTGAGGTGATACCTACTTGGAATATTAGCAATCTTTAAAGTGGTTGATACGGAAATTTGGGGGAAAGAAGGGGAGAAAGGACGTAGAAACCCAAGTTGACTGAATATCTACGATGTACCAGGCATTGTTAGAGATATGAATAAGGAGAATTAAATGTGTCAAAGTTCTAGTGTATAGTCAAGGCATTTATATTTTGCCAAGAATCATTTAGATGTCTAAATGACTTAATTTGTACTTAGAAAGTGACTGAATAAAGTGCACTGAAAAGAGCAGCAGAGATGGGGGACCAGTGGGCACCTTCATTCAGGCTCTAACTAGTTGGGTGATTCTGAACCACTTGTTTACTCTTGACCTCAGTTTCATCACCTGTAAAAGAAATTGGTTGTATTGGGTTATTTCCTTTTTTAAAATTTTTTTTAAATTTTTAAAAATTAAAAAAAAATTTTTTGGAGGGGGAAGTGATTGAGATTGATTGATTGATTGATTGATTGATTTAATGGAGGTACTGGGGATTGACCCCTTAATCTCCTGCATGCTAAGCATGTGTTCTACCACTAAGCTATACCCTCCCTTACCTGTATTGGGTTATTTCTAACAATTTTTTTTTAGGTCAAACTTTTCATAGCATTCTTACTTGGAGTTTTTTAAAAATTCTCATCTATATGTAAAAATGTGAAAGTGTAATCTTTATTCTGAAAACATTACTGTGTGCTTCTAATATGTCAAGGGCTATGCCTGTTGAGGTGAAGTAAATAAAAAGATAAGTGATTATTCTAACCTTCAAGAAACTTACATTCTGGTTAAATAAACAAATAGCAGAATCTGTGTAGAGAAATGGAGGAAGAAAGGAGAGTTTGGAAGGGAGGTGGTGATGAAGAAAAACAAAACAGAAGAGGTGACTTTGCAAATTAAATTTGAGGGAAAAAAATTAAGTTTTCTGGTATATATTTACTTCTATTATTAGGATCTTTAATATCATCAATGGGAGGCATTGTCATTGTTCTGAAGTGATCTATTTGTAATGGTGTTTTTAAAAAAATATAATGCTAAAGAGAGCCAAAGTTTTCCTGTTGGTTGATTAAGCAACTGTACAGGTTTGAGATGGCAAATTAAATCAGTGCTTTGGTATCTTCTCCATCATGACTTGGACTTGGAACCCCTAGGAGTTCTAGAAAATGAGAGTCCTTCGAGAATTTTGACAGCAACCCTGGATGCCAGTAGTCATTTGGTACAAGCAAGGACAGTTCCCAAGTTGTGATGGGTTTGAACACTGATGCAGTGTGGTGTTGTGAGAATGTCCTTGGTGTCAGGAAGCCTCCCAGAGCTCAGAACTTCCAGAGACGACATGTGAGTTCAGGCAAATTTCTTACACTTTGGAGGCCTCAGTTGCCTCATCTTCAAAATAAGACTCTTGGAATACTTCTGGGACACCCTTTTGCTTTCCAGATTCTGTGCTTCACCCTGACAAGATTAATACTGACTCATTAGCAATAATTTTTATTCTTCCATCTCTTCCATCCTTTATTTCTGCCACATCCCTTAAGAGTTTGCTTTTACTCAGTTACCCAAATTTACATAATTTCACCTCCAGATACCCTCATTGCCAAGGAATAACAAAATCAAAACAAGGTCCTGGGTTTTGGAGAATTTCTCCCCAGGAGGACTGTCACTCCCCAGGGAAGATCACTGTCCTCCCCGCATTTGTCTCCTCTGAGGCTGAGGTGCTCCTCCGCGGCAGCAGCACGCCTTCAGACAGTAAAGGGGCGTGCTTTGTGTTCACTGTAGCTGGGGACTGCAGTGTGACACAAGTGCCTTTTCCCTAAGTACCAATCACTGTCCTAGATTTTCTGTATTATTTCTCTTAATATCTCCCCAGCTTCAATTCTGGTTTATTTAGAGAATAACTAAAAACCTGTTGATAACTAAGTAGGAGGAATCAGAAGAAGAAGAATGTTTTTAGTAAATTGGTTGTCCATTGAGTGTCTGCTCTGAGACCTCACCCCTGTGGTACACGGAGGCTGCCTCACCCTACTGGTGGGATTTGATGCAATTCAGTTCCTCTAATCCAGACACTGGTGAGATCCTACTTGGGTCAGAGCATTCCTGCTGGCATCTCCTCTGGATGCAGGTTTACAGTTAACATCTCAAGCATGGAGAATAGGGAGCAGGGTTTGTAGTTTCAGATTAACCTAAAAATAACATGACACAAAATACATGTAAGTCTATTAAACAATATGTAATTC